ATCCAGTTCTTTCGCGCATTGGGGTCTCGCGGAAACCTAAAGAAACTGCAAGAATCTTTCTCCACGCGATGGTTACAACCAGGTACAAAGCGCGAGTCCGCAAGCAAAATTTGGGGTCTCAACCGATCGCCTGAAGTGTTTTTCTCACAGGTGCAATGCGATCTTTTAGCAGACGATCATCTCGATCGACGCCCGGACTTTCGATAAGCCATATTTTGCATCGCACGCCACTATGAATCCGTCTAAGTGTCTGAAACTCACTATATTTCAAACAAATGCAATATGAGAATATCGTCTTTATTCCCACGATTCAAACGACGGCACCGGCTTAGCCGGCCGGCGTGTGGCACACGGCATACTCCATGCATTTGTCGTCTGCTGCAGGCATCTTGAGGACCGGAAGTTGTAGTCGTAAATATTTCAGAAGCAAGCGATTACCGGCGCACTTCTGTCTATGACATTCAAGCTTTTTATATTTGCGATTTTTACAAGTTTAAACCCCACTCCTGATTTTTGAACGGTCGGGTTTTCGTAGCGAAACCTAGCCACATGTATTTGTCCATAACAACGACCCTAGCAACGGTTTGTTTGGACCCATGACGTCACACTTACGGAGTCAATACGGGCGACCCAGCTGCCCACAACCTCCTGTTTTTATTCCGTTTCTGTGCGTTGTAATCAACGAGGGTAGAGGGGCTTAGAGCGATAAACTTGCAGCTGAAAGTGACCCCAACCCGGCCGCCGCCATGTTGCACATTTTTGACCACTAGACACGTGACCTTGTACTTTTACATCTAGATTTTAACAAAGTACCACGCGCAGATGATTGCTTATTGATCTTTATTAAAGGTACCGACGAGATAAGTTACGTTCCGTTCGTTTTAAGCCCGAAATGTGCTTTTACAACAAAAACTCGGGGCAGCTTCGCAATGGCTCCACTACTGGGTGATATCAAAGAGCGGCCAGGCTCTTTAAATCGCGTTGGTCACAGGTTGTGTATTTTTTTTTTTTTTATGAATTTCGCAAAGAGCGAGCTTACCCGAGGAAAAAGTAAAAAAAGAAAAAGGCTTAACTCCTATGAAAAACGCAGCGAAGCCAGCGGTCTTCAAACCATTGAGCGCCCCAATGGTTTGAAGACCGGTGGCTTCGCTGCGTTTCCATAGAAGCTAAGCCTTTTTCTTTTTTTACCTTTTCCTTAGGTAAGCTCGCTCTTCGCGAAATTTATAGAAAAAATGCACCGGCTGTGGCCAACGCTGTACAAAATCGGAACGCGATAGGTTAAGAAACCGAATTTTGCGGTCGATTTAAAGAGCCTGGCCGCTCCTTGAACCCCGATAAAGGCCGTCAGCCGCGGTATTGTATTTTGGGTTTTTATTGGAATTAGACACGGATCTCTGGCGCTAACAGTATCGATAAAATAGTTCATCGTGTATTTTACAGGGATTGCAATACACATCTTGGCTCAGTTTTGCTTAAAATCCTCAGGATTTGGTACGGTTTCGTGTCTCGTGGTGAAAATTGTACAAGATGGCGGCCGCCAAGTGGGGCTCACTTGTGCCTGGTGAACGGGATGCCAGTTTATCGCTCTAAGCCCCTGTACTTCGATGGTTGTAACAAAAAAATAAGCGGAAATGGTTTTTCACGCATCGGAACGCCAAGATGGGCCCGCCACTCGAAAGAACGCGCGATGATCGAGGAAGCCAAGCGCGCACTGCCATTGGTTGAGGTCGGGGGTGGGGGGGGGGGGGGGGGGGGGGGGGCATAGGCATCTTGGCGCATTTCGGGGGGTAAACATACGAACGAGGTGCGCAAGGGTCAGACGAACTTGCGCGCCGTATAACAGTACAAAGAAATAAATCGATTTGACAAAATATCGGCGCCAAACACGGCACCCGCACAGTCTTGAAGGCCTCAAATTTTAACAAAAACGAAAAAAAACAAACAGGTATAATAAGACGATGCCAGCAAGCTATACTTCATTTCAGTTCAAGTTAAGCGGTAATGCGAGCAATAAAGCAGCATCCAAAAATTCAAGTCACCGATCCTTTTCTGCTTTCTCCAAGGGCGCCACCATCTTGAATTGTCGCCACTTCCAGTATGGTCGAAAACATTGTTTTGCCGTCGCCACGCCATAGAAGCCACTTAGGGTATAAGCGTAACCGTCACGGATTATCGTTTTGCCTCCCCCTTATTTTTTTACTAGCTACAGCTTGAAGCGTTTTAGTATTTTTTCGTCGCCCATACCGGATATGCCTATTAGGTGGCTGGGGACGAGAGTATAAAACCGACACACTGTTTACAAACAAGCCCGCGTTTGCCCACACCAGGTGTGGGCACTGCGCGAGCGCAGAAACCAGATTCCGTGAGGTGGAGCTTCTGCGCATGCGCCGTGGCGACAACAGCGCCACCGCAGAGGCGTGACGTCACAGCCGCGTGTTGGTCTATACAGAGACCTGACGACCATCATGATGGTGCCCTTTTGACGCTGACTGATTTTTTCCCATTAGCTCGTAGCGTCGGCTGGGCTGTGTGAAACGAAGTCGTTGCATCTCTCCGATCGTTTTTTAGGACTACGATACAAAGATGCCCACAAGAACGGGTTCAGCGACCTTGCTCTATACGGCCTGCGAGTTGCTTCGCTCTTTGCGCACCTCGTGCCTTTGTTTCCCCTGGACTTGGAGCAATCACGGCGCGCGCTTGGCTGCTTCGTGATCGCACTTTCGCTACGCCTCCTCTATGTTGTCCTTTGTTTGGCATGCCCCTACCTGCGATGCGCCAAAGACGCATTTTGGATCACTTGCTCGCCGTATGCTCCGCTTCACGCCACGAGCGCAGTTGACACAACTCATTTAGCCAAAAGTGCTTCGTCACGGCACTGGTCGTCTTTTCGCGTTTCTTATCCCTGGCGTAAAAAGACCCCCCCTTCCCCCCCCCCTCCCAAAAAAAAAAAGAAAAAAAAAATTTGTTAGGCTATTTGTTATGGTGTCAGCAATATTTTGCTACAGCGTCACATATATTTTTAATAAAGTTACAATACGAAACTGCTCAATACCGAAACTTAACCGGGTAAGAAGAAGAGAAAATACCGGAAATTATGTGGCTGTGCAACTTTTTTGATTTTGTTTTTAATCAACGTATTTGCAGCTTTTTAGAAACTACAAAAAATGGCCATCATATTTTTGGTCTATTCTTAGCATGGAGTGTGCGACTTCGATTACCCATGACTGATTATCTTTGGTGGTTGTGACTAAACAATAAAAAACGGCACGTGACCACGAAGAAGAGAGTGAGAGCGACTCAAAACAGCCAGTTCTCGATCGGCGGTTTTCGGGCGGAAAGAAAACGTATTTCGAGCCGCCAATTGTTTTCTGTGTAGTTGGGCTCTCATGTGTCACGTACAAATGAAAACCTTGGCGAGCATAAACAGCCTGTCAGTGTCCCTTTAAGCAATGGCGCAGAATGAACACGCCGTGATACTGTTCTGTGCGTGGTTCGTTTAGCCCATGATAGCGTAAAGACATCAAGCGCCGTGACAAAGCACTTAAGCTAGCTGCCGGAAACGTTTCCAAAAATACTCAGCCTCTCCCTAAAAAAAAGAAGAAAGAAATGTGGAACGCTTCACGATTTTGACATTTGTTGCGTGTCATCCTCGCGCGGGGGCGACGCCACGGCTACCTCGAAAGAGGAAGCCGAGAAAGCTTCAAGACGTTGGGTCTTGGGCCTTCATGTGCGCTTTGCTTAAAGTGGAGACATCTGGCCATTTTGTCCCACACGTTTATTTTTCTTTTTTGTTCAGAAGCGCGTAAAAGAGAGTGTCCCTGCACGCGCTTGTGACGCTCACTGTGCTGTGGCGACATTTTGTTTTCGTCGATTTCTTTGTATTTTCCTCGTGAGCGCGTGCTATCAACATCGAGTACAACAAGGGATGGTATCACTATAAACAGAAGGACATTGAGGCACCCTGGTTGGGTTTCTAATCGGGGCTTGGTTGGACGTTGTTTGGAATCGTCTCGCATCGAGGCGGGCGTGAACAAACGCCCGCACTATATGCTTCCACTTGCATGCTACGAGAGGGGTGCCACTCCGTTCGTCGAACGACGTTTTAGCAAACGCCGACTTTTCATTGAAAGACGCTTTAACGAATGGCCGGCCGCCACGAAGCGGCGTTCACGGGTGGTTCAGGTGGGTTAAAGGGGGACCAGCAGAAATATTCTTCCACCTGGCGGAAAGTCATCCTCGCCCTCTTTCTTTCCCTTTCTCTCTTGTATTGTAGCACGGCGAGGCGAAGGGAAAGGCCCCCTTTTGCGCCGGCTTCTTTTGAGAGGATAAGCCGAGAAAATCCCCATTCTTAGCGACTGGTGATGGGTATGGTAGCAGCGACCTCGTGACTTACAGGTATCTTCAGCTTCTATTGCGTAATCTGCCCCATTTTCTTTTTTTTTTTTTTTTGCGCTATCCAAGTTTAGTTTTTCGGGTGTAGGTTTTATGGAGCTGCAAGGCTGCGTCCTCGCAGTCACCAAATTTCAGCTGTCGAAGTTGTTTGGTTTAGCCCGTGGCAAAGTAAACGCATACTTGCGAGCTGCGATGCACCCTCGCACCTATTGAAGGAACGTTTCATAGATATTTTCGGTTGATCAAGGAGCTCAAAAGACATGCATGACTTACATGTTCACAAAACATTCCATCTTAAAAAACAAAACAAAAAACGGCTTATCACGCTTAATTCTGTTTCGAATTGAAATCGATGGAAAAGAAAACTATGCACCAGGCGCGGGCATCTTGTAGAAGGTCTCTGTTTTCTAGCAGCGAGCACCAATATTGGAGAACTTTAGCAAACTATGTTTTCAGCCCACTCTATATTTAGCGGGAGCTCGCGCTGCCACTTCGATGCATTCTCTGAAGAGCGCGGCTGAAGTGGTAGTGGACCTTTTAAAGCGATTTTCTAAAATGCCCTGTTGTGTGCCTAATTCGCAGAACATAATGGCCAGCAAAATGTGAAATTCATATTTCGACATTCCGACAACCACCTGAGGTGAGTGGGCATCAAGATTAGACAGTTTTAGTGGGTCGCTGTTAGCCACTTCGATAACCGTACGGTTATCGAAGCGTAGCGCAGAACATGCGCCTTTGATTGACCGGCGAGCAGGAACTCGAAATCTGAGACCAATCAGGATCGCTCGATGTCGCAGTATAACAGAGCCTTAAGCTTTATGGCATGAGCCTCTACAGACTGTCGCCGCGAAGAGGCGTGAACGCAGGCCGCGGGGGAGGGGGGGGGGGGGGGGGGGGGGGATAGCACGCGCCACAGTTATTCGCAAAAACGTCGATTCGCTCAAAGGACCGTTGTTCGCTAAAACGTCATTCGCTCGCGTTATATGAACCTCTACTTGAAAAAGCGTTACGTTCGCAGCCGCCTTCGCGGACCGCTGCGTTCATCCTGTTTCCGCGGATCGTTCGCGTAATCGGCCGACGAAAGCCCAGGCAACCTGAGACGGCGGCGGCAGCCGGCAACTGCTCGTGTCGCTTCGGAGACGAAACCGGACCTCCTCTAGCGAGCACCGCTCGCACGAAGCGAAACCGGTCGAGTGACCTACTCGGTCGAGTTCGTCGGCTACTCGCGCTTTCGGTTTCTCTCGAGAGCCGAACACAATGAGTGTATCTTTCATCTCGGGTACGCTACGGGGGTCAATAAAGACCGTCTACCCAGCGAACGAGCGCAAATGGACCGAAACAACCGGCTCCCACGGTCTAGTGTGCCTACATTTGAGAGTACTTCCAAATGCTTGGTCGGGGTCACGTGTTTGGTAGGCCGCGTTTTGCAATTTCATTTCATTTATTGACCTGAAAGGCATCTGACGATGTGTTACAAAAGAGGGGAATGCAAGGACCGAGGAGTTGTCATAAGAGCAGAGCGTCTCCGAGGCACTTTGCTCAGCCTCTCAGGCCGCTAGTCTTAGCACCACGCGGCATGAGCGCAGGACCAGCCACTGATTGGTTGGTCCTGCGCTCATGCACTGGACCAACCAATCAGTGCATAAGGCAACATTAGCGGAAGGTGTTCGCCATTAAATTGCAAATGCCCTCCGTGGTTTAGGTTTACTGTCCGCTATGATAGACAGAAGCGTATCGCGTGATTCCGCGCCTCTTGCGTCGCGGCGCTTTAATTGAAGGTCACGTGAAAGTCGCGCGGCGTGGGGTTGGCTTCGGCGGCGTCCTCTAGTGGTCCATCGCAAGATGAAACGGAATCTCCGTCGCATCTGTAGGTCAACGAAGATGGCGCTGACTCGCCCCAGGGCATTGTATTTCTTTCCCTCCTCCTCCCCCTCTTACGTCGTGTCGAAAGCAGAAGAGGCGGAGAAGACAAAAGACCAGGAAGGGGCATGTAGGAAACGCACGTACGGCAGAAAACGAGAGCGGATCGGCGCATCGCGCTCGCATGAAGCGCAAGGCCGCTTGCTTGCTCGTGGCCGTCTTCTGCTTCTCGGCGGCGGCCTGGCTGCGACGGAGCCCCTGGCAGCGGCACTTGGTCCCTCCGTCTCCAGACGCGGAAGAAAACGCCGTCACTAAGGTACGTCCCACAGTCTGACGTTTGCTGATAGTCACGTGGAATTGAGCTGGGCGTCGCAGTCATATCAAAGACAGTGCAGCTGTAGACTGAGGCGTGTCTTTTCTCGCAAGAGATCATACATAAACTGTCTGCAGGTAATTCCGTCATGCCTGCAGCGAGTATCTTTTGTATCATGTATACGAACAATGGGACTCCGGCTTTTGGCTATCTTGCGCATCAACCCACTCGAAAAGTCGTCTTTTAATGCCGAACGTCGGAGCCAGTTAGGGACTGCAAAAGACACGTGTCCATTATATTGCTATTGCTTGGGGTGCTCAGAAACACCACCAACTAAAACACAAACAAAAACAAAGGGATAAGTATTTTAGAGCAGTATGACACAACCGATGTGGCCCTTCTTTGCGTGTGCCTGTGCAGCCTTGTGACGCATTTCCTTATCGAGTTGTCAACTAGCTTCGGGCTTTTGCGATCGTGTTTTCTGTGCCAATTTCGTTGTCCTCTAGAGATGGGGTTTGGATCGTTTTCGTGGTCCCAAATGTCCGACAGCTTCGCAGTGTTCAAGGGCTCATTAGAAGTTTCTATCCGTGTCAAAAACGTGTTTCGTGAGTAGATGAAAGAGTAAAGGGTGTGCTTCGGAACGTGGCACGGTTCTGTTTTGGCGCCCGTATTTTAACTGATTGACCGTCTTTCCGTAGTAGTTCACGTCAGCAACTTGCCACTTAGCTTCGAGCGTAAATGCAGCACCACTTGTGCGGAAGTGGAACATCGAAGGGCATAGGTAAATGACTGGAAATTGTTTCCGAAGGTTGCACTTATGAACTGAAAAGAATTAACGTGGAAAACTGCGTACGTTTTTAATAGAATCGTATAATGTAAATGACGACCTGGGCAGTGGCGTACTAACTTGTTTCTAAGTGGGATGGGGGGGCAAACACCCCCCCCCCCCCCGGGGTCGGGGGTGGTGCCCCTGGTATCTCTTGGGCGCCGTCGGCAAGTGCTTGCCCTGCCCAGTGGCTGCTGATTCAGAGGGGTGGGGGGGAGGCAAGACCCCCCCACTCTGAGAGCTGGGTGGGGGGGGGGGAAAGCGCCCCTCTTGCCCCCCCCCCGGTTGGTACGCACATGGACCTGGGTGGTGAAACTTAAGGTTCCTTGTACGGGAGCATTGGGCCATGAATGGGGAGAGATCTGCAGAGATCAGACGTCACGGACGGATATGACGTACGACGCGTCGCCCAGATCTATATGTTGACCTAATAATTGACATTTTACCAAAACTAAACATTTATTCAAGAACAAAGAGTCGGGTTTCCATAAAAGCGTTGCCCTTGGAAGGCTTGGGGGGTGGAAGGGGGAAGGACCCCCCCCCCCCCCCCGCTTTAAGTCTGCCCCTGGGTAGAGCCTGTTTATATCTGCCTCATCTGCATTCACTTACAGATGAAATACCACGTAATGATCTGTTTCTTGGTTATTTTAATGTTGTCCACTCTACTGTGACAGAAGGAATTTCATTTTGTAAATTTATCTCGCTCCATTCTAGGCTCACTCAAGTCGTTTTCGGATACTCGCCCATGGCACTTGCAAACTCACTAGGACGGCACCGTGCTAAGCACAGGCAATCGCTAATATTTGCCTAGTGCTCACGAAAAGTCAACAACAAAATAAAAGGTAGTAAATTAAAAAAAAAGTAAAAGTGGATAGACCAAACGAACACTGCATACTATATTTAGATCTCAATTTAACTCTGCTTTAGATTTATGCTGTGAGTATGGTAAAACTGCAGGAAAGCCGATACTTTTGTTCAATAGCGGTCACTCGAAAAAATATTAAAGCAGGTATAATAAGGAATTTGGAGAATGCGGCTCTTCAGAATTCTTATTCTCAATTTATTACGCCTTGTCTTCAACTACCGTTCTAGCCATTAGTGTGCAGGTTATTCCAGGGGATGCATTTTCAGACAGTTAGTATACCTTGTGTCACTGTCTACTAAAAACATAGTTCAAAGGTCCTAGACCAAAGCGTGTCGGTTTTCCGTTCTACCGTAAAAGAAATACCGTAGGTCTTGGGTTCAATAAAGATCCCGCACATATCACAAAAAAAAAAAACACTTTAATGTGTTTAAAAAATTACGCGACAAAAGAAATTTATTAGTGGAGGGAGTAAAATATTTATAAATCTTTTTGCTACATCACCTTCCTTGAGTGGATCATCTGCTAGCCTCTGTTCTTTCAATTGCCGGCTGGGATCGATCTCTTCAGGAGAGCGTTGTTAAACTGAAATGATTATTTTTTTCTTGTTTTTCACATGTGCTTACTTGTTAATCAGTGTTTATCAACTTTCCCTTTGTAATTCTACAACCATTGAGGATAGATAAATGAAATAAAAGGAAAGAAAAACGAAAAAATGCTCCGAATATGAGAGTACAAACATTGAGAGCTCCAAGCCGTATAAGGCTCTTTTTTTTTCTTTCATTTTTTTTTTTTTTGGGGGCTTTACAGATTTATTTTTGAAAAGCTGAGAAAGATACAGTAATGCTGTTTCTGCCGGTGGAGAATAAATAATAAACGGACCTAATAGTCACGATAATTCAAACAATTCGCTTTTTAATTAGTGAAAGTAACCATATGGTATTAATTAGAAACTTGCAGGACGTCATCGAAAACCACTATATGAGTATTTTTAGAAAAACTCTGAGCGCGTGAGGAGCGCAGTCGCGTGCTAAGGTCACCACTCGAGAAGCAGGCACAAGGCTGGCGGTGTGAAAAGGTGGGGGAGAAGGGACGGAAAAACCGCGCGGGAGCGTTATCGCGCTTGTTCCGGCTGCACAAGTGATCACTTGAGCGCTCCACTCTGCCTCCCACGTGCTCCAAGTCTTTCTAAAAGGGTTTGACTCAGTGGTCTTCTACGACGCCCAGCAAGTCTATTTGAAAAGCATACGTTTTTGTTTACTCATGAAAAAGTTAATCAACACATTTCAGTTCATTAACCGACTTATCGTGACGATTATCCTCCTGAATTATGTCTTCCCGATCGTAAACTCACTTGAAACAAACCGCACGTGTGTATCTCTCATGGCTTTTTCTTTTTTTTGTAAACTTTAAAAGAAACACCCTGTACGTATATCTTATTGCGTGGGTCAGGGTCACCGAGCGAACGATGCGCGGACTCCTGCGATGTGACCTCGCTCCAGTTCGTCGTTCTGCGTCTTTGGGCTTTTCGCCAAAGGTTCCCGAAAACTTCAAAGCACTTCCGGAAAACTTAAAAAAATCGTATATATATATATATATATATATATATATAAAGAGTGACGAATGTTGACAAATGCTTCCGTTGATATATGGGCAAAAGTGATGTGCGCAGACACAGCAGCCGTAGGATGAAAAGAGTAAAATTCTAATTTAATGGCGAAAAAAAGTCACGCAAGAAAAAAGGGTGAAGTGCCGAAAAAAAGTTGTATTAGTTTACGGGAATAATGAAGACTAGGCACAAGAACGCTAATTACGTGGGAAAGAAACTTCTAAACAGGACGGAGTAAAAGTCAAAGTTAACACACAAGAACTTACAAAAATAAATTGTTAAATGAAAAATAAAATAAAGAATTGAAAATAAAAAAATGAATAAAAATAAGAAAAGGGCCTGACGTCCGTCGACGTTTCGGCAGTGGCACTGCCTTCTTCAGGACGGGAGCCCATATGGCGTGGTAGGTTAGTTTTATAAAATATCTAGGGAGAGGGTTAGTTAACGCGAAAGTTCGAAGGGGTTTGTAGGGTAAGGGAAGCACGGGGGGGACGAGTCCAATTTTGTCGCGATGAGGGAGGCGGTTCTGGGTTTTTTTCACAGGTGCACTGGTGGTATGGAGGAGCTCGTAGGGAAGGGGAACACAGAGGGCAAAGTCCCATCTTGACGCGATGAGGCATGACAATTGTAGGTTCTGTTCGCCGGTGCATTGGTAGCAGAAGGAGCTTGCCGGGAGAGGAAGCGCCAGGGGGTATGAGTCCACTTATGTCGCGGTGAGGGATTAAGGTTGTGGATTTTGTTCGGAAGCTGCCTTCCCGGGTAATTACGGTGCAGTGAGTGAGTCGTAGCGTCCTTGAGTGACCGGGTCGTCTGGGGCCCTCTTTCTCCTTGTCCCCGAGGGCTGGTACGTCCAGACCCAAGAAGGAAGAAAGAGGAGAGAAAAAAAAGAATTAAGTAGGGCGGGGATGTCGCGGCAGGTGGTCGTTTAAGCTGTGTATTGTTGACAGAGTGCCCAAATCTTTGTTAATTTTGCACTGGAATTTATGAATTAGGAATGACTCGCGAATTTCTCTATTTGTTTGACTCTTGAAGCCACTCTGTATGATGACTAATTTTGCCTCCGTTATTACATGTCCATTCTGGCTAAAGTGTTTGGATACTGGAAGGTCGGGTTTGCACCTAACGTCGGACTTATGTATATATATATATATATATATATATATATGCATATAACGGAATTTCAAAAGCTCCAGGAAGGGCCTTTAATTCACCGACGTTTCAAGCGGGGACCGCTTTTCTTCAGGTTGGGTTGGTCTGTAAAACGTCTTCTTGTTGATGTTCGTGAGGGACAGTGGCCACGAGGAATACTAAAATATTAGGAACAGGGGAAACAAAATGATCAGTAAATCGTTGAAAATAGTAATTGTAAAGAATAATGATTAAAGTCATTAAAATTAAATAAATTGATTTGCAGTATTTTCACAGTCCTAATTGAATCCGGGTTTAGCTCTAATCACGATAGAGAATTGAAGGAGGCTTTCTTCATTCACAAATTGAATTCGGTTGCTTGGGGTATGAACGCAAGTCCAGTCGCACTCACTTGGCTGCCACAGGATGTGTAGGGCCGAAGCCACACAATTCTTTTGGTTCTGCACGGACTGTGCCGGCCGGGCGCGTGTATGGCATCGTTCCGCCAAAAGCGCCTGCCATCGCGAGCTCATTCCACGCCACTCGTGAACATCCTCGTGAGCGTGCGTCCCGTGGCA